AACAGTGATTATTCCATGCCTTCAGGGCCACAACATATTGACGTGTTTTCTTAATTAATCTTGTCCGAGCGAGGCTCCACTAGAGGATGCATGACAACTCAGATGCTTGCCCGAAATTGGGATATGCTCCAACACCACATAAATATACAAACACACAATCAATTTATACTAGCATATTTGAGTCGTCCAAAACCACACACAAGCTGCCATCTTTCGGCGCATAATAATCAAGTTGAGGAACCCTAGCTAGAAGAAAACAACAAGAGGCCGGCTAGGGCCCACAATCTAATCACGTCCCATTTAGGATAAGGTTTCTTGACATAAAACTACATCAAGGGACTCGAGTGAGATCATGGCAAAAGTGTTTTCAAATCTCCCCTTTTGAGATCTTGTTTGTAGTTGGGACATCTTGGTGATGGTGACTCACATGGGGAGCCTCAGCAGGCCAAAGTTTTTAATCTATTCTTCTAGCTAGCGTTACTTCTTTAGCCTTTACTCCTAGGGGGTGCAAAATAATAATTATTCTAGATGCCTTGTGGTAAGGGTATCAGCATAGGCAGTTTGTTGGGAAATATGATGGTTCATCAGCTAGCTCATTGCTTCTAGTGTGTGGTGTGGTTGGGTGCCCTACTTAACAAAGTATGGTTCAAGGAAACCTTTGGGGCAAATGTCCGCTTGGTGGTCATTCAGTTTGTTCTGTCTCCTTCTTTCAAAAGTAGTGGCCACTTTTGAGAAAATATAAACAATGTTCTCTACACTGTAGTGATCAATTATTGACCTCTCTGAACACAGAATTATCAAACTATTGACACTTTAGTTACTATGATGACACAGAATTATCAAACTATGCGGTCATAATCCAACTATTTACACATTATTTTGCACCAATATAAATTAATTAGTGCTCAACTTTGCAAGTGCCTAAGTATTATTATGAGATTGCTAAAATTGATGGTATGTATGAACACTAATCTAAGGGTAAGCGCCCACATGACCTACCTTAGCCATTTCCACAATTATGTCCAAACAAAAGTAGATGATAGTACAAGACAATGCATAGTCCAAAAAGAATCCAACTCTTTGAGTGTCCTGGTTCACAAAGGAATGTCTTAGTACCAAAGTGGAGTTAATGTATGACAGCCATGTCAAAAGTGACTGCAAAAACTTAATATAAATAGTACCAGGTGGTTCATTTCTGCATCTAGGAAAGTGATCGCAACCTCTTTCCCGTCACGTGCATTGCAAGTTGTCTCGACAAGGAGTGCTAACTCAAGGTGGCAATACATGCCAAACTAATGAAGCCAGTACACATGCTTTCAGAGTGGAAACAATCAATTAGCATAAAACATCTTGGACCGGCCCAAACAACTCACTGGACCACAATTACACGTTCTTAATAAATTCTAAAAAAAATCCGCAAGCAATAAAAAAATCAAGCCACCGAATATTTGTTAAGCATAAACAAAAAGCTGGCCAATAATTCCAGCATACACTTAAGGAGTAAGCACCCTGCTGAATATGCAGACCGATGTGCAAAGATTCTCATAGTATAATTGGTCGAGAATCATATTCGGTTCCAACTCAAGCATAGCCCCTACATGTGGACTACATGATACTCCTTGGGTGCTTAATTATTCAATGCTGCAAAGATTACAATTGCCTCGGGAAATCGGGACAAGAAAAGGACAAGTACCAGAGTTGATATCAGGATAGACACCTACCGACGCAACTTACATATTCATCTGTTTGTTTATCAGTATTCCTAGCTTTACATCACCTTCCCCATCACATCAACCACTACAAGAATTTGGCAAAACTTGAACCCTAAGAAGTTGCCGATTAGTATCCTATATTCTAGAAGGCAACCAGTTGATGTACTTTTAGTAATTCAAAACAAGCTAATTAAGTGTCAATTAAGTGGACATCCCTTTCAGCTAGCTAGCTTCTTAGCTAGAAATTTCTTCCTAATCCACATGTATTCAAGTACCCTAGTCAGCTTATCACTATTTTCAGTCACCGAACAAACACAAACATAAATGGCCGCCGGGACTAAAGTGTGATTAACTTGCCTGGTCTAAATGAAAAGGATTTGGATATGCGCACTAGAGAGTAGAGAGGGGCCATATATGCGTCACCTGCTTCTTGTCCTTTTACCAAAAGACTCAATACCTACGTGTACTTGGGCCACCAATTAAGTAATCCCACGAGCAACACAAGATCCCAAGATGATGCAACCCTAAATCGTCAGTCTCACGGCATGCAAAATTAATGGCCAAGTTGAGAGATGATGGCATCTCAATTAAGCTGGCAAAGAAATGGCAATTTGATCTGGTCACTAATCAGGACAACCAAATTAACCCAGAGAGATTGAGGGAGGTCAGGTATATGTTGATGTTTTGTCACCTATAGATTTGTCAAGTGGATTGAGCTGGCGCTGGCGCGTAAACTAATATATCCGCATACGATAGTCACGGTTATATTGATTAATTAGGGTTGTACACTAAACTAAGCTAGTTGCCTGTCTGGAGACATCCTATGAAAACCTTTGTACATGCGTCTCCCGTACAACTATAGCAGTCGATGCAGATTAGTTTATGTGTAATGACGCTTCATCACGCTTTGCAAAGTAAAGCTACTCCCCGATGACGTGTAATGGGCATTATACAATTTATCACCATGTTATCAACTAGCTTCAATCAAGTAAAGCTAAGACCCGTGGTTAATTTATAAAGAGACTAATTCACCTTGACCGATCCAATCTCTAGATGATGTGAATTTGATAAATCAATAACTACACATGACATATATGTACACGCGACAAGTGTTTAGTATGCAAATTTTACTGCAGCCGCTTACCTGCGGACCCCGGGGAGGGAGTACAAAAACCGTAGTCCCCCACCGGTTTATGCGCATGTAACCGCCGATAATATAACCATATACGCACGGAACAACACCGACAATCGTGTCTTATAATACGGTCTCAGGGGCGGGAGAAAAGGGGGAGGGCGGAAGGAAAAGCGGGGGCCGGTGCGACCGCGCACGACAGCTGGTGGGCGCGAAAGGCGGGTAACCCCGCGCTTAATATAAGCGATACGAATCTTAGGATGATCTATCATCATCCACCTCCTCCTCCTCCTCCTTGCTGCCACTGTGCACATGTTGACTAATTAATCCTAGTTTAGGTCCTAGGGACGCCTACCAATTAACAAGAGATAGCAAATTAGCCATTAGTACAACTAGTTAGTACTACTGATCGCATGCAGTAAACAAAACCCTAGCGTAAAGCACAACCTGATCCCATTGGCCGCCATGCGTGCCTTTTGTACGTGGCCAGGTCGTGGCTGCTGTCGTCGGGGCGGCCAATGGGAGGCCGCGGACCGCGGGACATGTGTCGAGCCGCCAGTGGCCGGAGCCACCGAATGGGAGCCCGAAACGTGGTCCGCCTACGTGGCCCATTCGGACCGGGCCCGAGGGAATCTCTATGCAATGGGGTTCGCCAGACATTACCATAAAAAGAAATCTCCCGACTTACTGTTCTCAGCCACTGTATTTGTGTTTGTGTTTGATTACCGCACCAGCAGCACAAGTACCCAGTGTCCTTTGAGTCCTCGCTAAGTTGCCATAAGTAGAAAAATTAGCCAGCGCATATGCGTGCGTGGACTCCTGTTGCCTCGGCCACATGCACGCACAGTGGCACATCAGATGAGCACTACACGTAATAACGCAAGGATCAAGAAATGAGAGGGAAATTTGGGCGTGCATGGAGGAGCATGCATGCCTAATTGCCTATGCATGGTTAATTTGTGAGTGTACAGTGGGGTGGCGTGGGGTTGACACGTAGGGTACGGCGAACAGTGGCGGGATCAGTGGATATCGCACGGCCGGTTTGGCCTGGAGCGAAGTACTAGACACAGAGGGCGGCACGGTGCGCCACACGCAGGCGCCTTTTGCATGCACTCGGAACAAGGTTTGTTCCATCACACCCATGCACGCACGCACGCACGCTGGCTTTGGTGGTGCACTCTTCAACGCCTTGCGTGCGGTGCCGCGTCCAATCAACCCATGCGCCCACGCCCCACCACACGTACTCTCTCCCTCGTGATGCATATGCATGCGCGTCTGTAAAATATGGAGGTAAATCCTGCATGTGTAGTACATGTGTGTGTGCTTGCTAGTGTAGCTAGTAGTAGAGGATGGCCTATATGGGTAAACTACTAAACTGTCTACTGCAACCAAAAGTGGCCTTCTCTTGGGTTAATTCTAGAGGAAGTGAGATTTGTTACTAGTGCTAATTGGTCGGCACTGGTAGTAGTGCCATGCATGTTTGTAACAGGAGATTGTCAATTAGGGCAACCGGATGTAATTAAAAGGGGGCAAACAAAGTTTATTAGGTGGCATGATGGAAATGGAGCGAGAGGGGAACTGACTCATGGTGCACTCACCTATCACCAAGTGCCTGCCGCCTTGATTATAAATGGATGTGCGTATGCATGCCCGTTTAGAATACACTTGCGTAATTGTCATGCATGTGAACATCCTTGAATTTTTGTTTGTTTGTTTGAACTCTCCTTGACAAATCAAACACATGTCCTCGTCGATGGACGTACCAATTGCGATCAACACATCGGCAAGAAAATGGGTGATATTGATCAACACTGCAAATGGCGGAGACAGATGGATGGATGAATGGATTTGACCAGGAATTTATAAGGCGTCATCGATCGATCTCGGATCATATCAAGAACGTACGGGAGTTGGTTCGGTTACAAGGCGGTCGGCCGGCTTAACACTCCAAAGCTAGCCCGGAAGCTAAAAATTACTTATACTTTACTTACTACCGCTAGCTAATTTAATTACCTAGTATAGTAGTGCTACCGAGGATTATCGAACGATCGAGCTTTAGTTCGGAGTTCGGACGCATGCAGGTACTAGTAGTAGTGGGCGGGTAATTCATCCCTTCCTTTTTACCGGAGCCACAGTACAGTGCGCGGCTCGAGTCGTCACAAGCTGAGCTGCAGGTCCAGCCCCAGCGCGTCCTCGGGCGCGGCGGCCATGGGCTCCGGCGCCATCACCATGCCGGGGTATCTCGGGAAGCTGGCGGCGTGGAGCCTCCGGCCGTGGTGGTCCACCACGTCGGCCTGCACGACGTAGGGCGCCGCGGCGGCCTGGGCGGCGGCGGAGGCCGTCGGCGCGTAGGAGAACACGGCCGGTGAGGCGGAGGCCGGGGTGGAGCGGCCGGAGGGGAAGACGCAGCCGTGGGAGACGTGGAACTGCTGGCCCTGGGCACCGCCGGCCACGGCGGCCGCGCGCGGGGAGAAGTAGACCCAGCTGGTGGGCCCCGTCCCGCCGTCGCCGGCGCCGCCGAGGAGGTGCGGCGGCTGCGCGAAGGCGGAGACCATGGGGTTCATGCCGCCGGCTCCGCGAGGGTAGAGCGCGCCTCCCCCGGCCGCGCGTCCCGCGGCGGCCGCGGCCGCCTGCAGCTGCGCGCGCTTGAGCTGCTGCCGCTCCTTCTTGTGCGCGTTCTGGTGGCCGCCCAGCGCCTGCGAGTTGGCGAACTCGCGGCAGCAGTACTGGCACTCGTACCGCCGCCCTTCGCCGCCCCCTCCGCCCGCCGCAGCCGCCGCCGTGGCCGTTGTCGTGGTGGTAGACGAGGAGGAGGAGTCGGAGCCGCCCTTCTCCGGCTCGGCCGCCTCGTGCTCGGCCGTGTCCATGGTGGTGTGGTTCTCCTCCTCCGCCGAGGAGAAGTGGAAGCCGAAGAGCTTCAGCCTGGGGCTTGTCATGCTCGCTCGTACTACCGGAGGAGAGAATTGCGCAGAGAGGAGGAGACGGACGGAGAAGAGAGAAGAGAAGAGATGGAGATCGATGCTGTCCGTCAAAGCCGGATGTGCATGGGCTGTGGCTGTGTCAGGTGGGCAGGGGCAGTATATATAACACCTGGAGCCGGAGGCACGCACAGTAGTCCTCCCAGTGGATATAGGTGAAAGAACTCTGCATGTATGATTTGAATACATACACCCACACGCATCTACAGGGGCTCTCCTCCTCCCTCCTCTCCTAACATTATTTTTTATCCCCCGTGCACTTTAGAGAGAGAAGGACTGTGCAGATGCAAAGTAGTACT